CCCCCCCCTTTGGCCCCGCAAGACACTCTGATGGTGATCCGAGAGTGTTCGGTAAACTGAACATATGCCCTATTCCTACATTACCGACTTATCGACATTGTCGTCCTGCAAACGTCACAGGCATTGGACTTTCAGTGTTATTTTGTTCGCATTTCCTTGCGAAAAACAGCGCAAATACCTCAAAAATCGCTGCAAAATGTACGCCAACAAGGAGTACAATGAGGTGAGAAGGTTTTGCAAGTGTGGGATTGTTGGAAAACTCAATAGTGTACCGGTTTTATCGAGAATTCCCAGTTGATAAATCTCATCCCAAATGGGGCATCTTGACTTTGTGTGGAGTCTCATATGCCTGTGATTTCTCTTTTAGGACTACATCTACGAGTACGACGTACCTCAGCAAAGGATCTATTCGCCGAGAAGAGCAGCATTATCCTGAAATTATGGATCTCATCGCGCACGACTTTCCGGGAAGCCGACAAACTGCCAAACTTCTACCGGCGCCACGAAAAGGCGGCGGAGCGGATTGCCGGCGCAGGGGGCGATTGAGGAGGTGCTGCAGCACAAGCTGACAGGCTGCAGGAAGTCGCACGAGGGCAAAATCAGACACAAAGCCGGGCGTGCAGCAACTCCCCCGTGCATGATCCGGGAGAGGGGCAAAGTGGAGAGCATGCAATTCAACAGGATTCTCTGCGACGTGCCGTGCAGTGGCGACGCCACGCTGCGAAAGAATCCGGACATCTGGACAAAGTGGAATCCCGCGCACGACACGAATCTCAATGGTGTGCAGTTCAGGATAGCCAAGAGAGGCGCTGAGCTGCTGACGATCGGCGGGAGTCTGGTGTACTCCACGTGCTCCTTCAATCCCGTGGAGAACGAGGCGGTGATTTTGCGTCTGTTGAAGGAGTCCGAGGGCGCGCTGGACTTGATTGACGCCTCCAGTCTCGTGCCGGGACTGAAGTTCTCGCTTGGGATGCAGAAGTGGGAGCTGGCGGCGAAGGACATGAGTTTCTACGCGGATTTCCAGGCAGTTCCCGAGCAGTATCACATAATCTTGCGCCCGCAGATGTTCCCGCCGGAGGATTCTTTGTGGCGGTGCTGGTGAAGACCAGAGCCATGCCGTGGGCGCTGGAGGAGGAGAAGAGAGGCTCTCCGGCGGCGCCGCAGCGCAAGAAGCGCCGCCTGGGCGGCTACAAAGAGGAGCCCTTTGTCTTCTTCCACGGCGACGAGGACATCTTCTCCTCCATCAAGTCCTTCTACACGCTGCGCGAGGACTTCCAGCCCACGTGTCTGCTATGCCACGCGCTATCACACGGGCAAGAAGAAGAATATCTACTTCAGCTCCGAGTCCATTCGTGACATTGTGTAGCTGAGCGGCGATCGCGTGAAGATCATCAACACGGGCGTGAAGGTGTTCGTGCGCTGCGACAACAAGAACATGTCGTGCGCCTTCAGGCTCGCCCAGGAGGGTCTGCCCAGTGTGAATGAGTTCGTGGGCAGCGACCGGAGGGTGCGGCTGGAGAGGAGTGATCTCGTGACGCTACTGCACAACACGGACCCCACGAAGCCGCCCAAGGTGGAGGAATTGACGGCGGCGAGCCAGGAGAGAATCGCCGGCGTGACGCCGGGCAGTTGCGCGCTGGAGTATCGCGAGCCGAAGCTACAGATCACGCTCGTGGGCTGGCGAGACACCACGAGCCTGCGCGCGTACGTCGACCAGAGCGAAACGGTGCACATGTTGCGACTCCTGCGCGCGGATTTGTCGCAATACGAGGTGAACAAGTTCCGGAAGCCCGTCGAGGAGGAGGAAGTGAAGGAGGAGGTGCAAAAAGAGGAAGAAGTGGAGCCAAAAGACGCCCTGCAGAGCCAGGAAGAGATTGTTTGATGCCTTTTTTACTCTTTATTGTACATTCTTTGAGAAGTACATAAGTTTTATGAAAAGTTTTTCATTTCTTTATAAATTTATAAGACGCTGCCCACGGGACTGGTGATTGCCAATGACATCGATAACAGTCGCCCTTGGCAGCCCGGGTCCTCCTCGCCTCGTGTTGATGTGAGGCTGAGACCCAAAAAAATCGCAAGTTCTACGAAAGTCTCGGCTATCTATTCCAGCCATTCAGCTTCAGAGCAATTCTCATGGCCGAAGACAAATAAATGATGCTCTGTAGCTGAAGCAATCTTAGTCGCAACACATGATATGTTGTAGCGTGGCACGATTTAATCGATTCATAAATTTATTCCAATGTTGAGCAAATTAAACCACGAGTTCTTAACTTCTTTAAAGAAAAAAAATCAGAGTATATGATCTTGCTTTCTCCTTTAATTATTTCAAGTTTGGCGCATTTGATCTCTGGGTTTCAAAGTTTCACGTGAAACTTTCAACGCCCTGGCTAACCTTATCACGCACACATTCATTCATTATGCGCTGGGGCTAAAAAAAAATAGCGGCCCGCCTTCGGCGGCCCGGTGAAGTCATCCTCGCATCGCGTTCCTTTAAGACAAAGACCCAAAAAAATAGCGGGCTGCCTTCGGCGGCCCGGTGAAGTCTTCCTCGCATCACGTTGCTCTGAGACCAAGACCCAAAAAAATCGCGGGCCGCCTTCGGCGGCCCGGTGAAGTCTTCCTCGCATCACGTTGCTTTAAGACAAAGACCCAAAAACATCGCGGGCCGCCGAAGGCGGCCCGGTGAAGTCTTCCTCGCATCACGTTGCTTTAAGACAAAGACCCAAAAAAAATCGCGGGCCGCCTTCGGCGGCCCGGTGAAGTCCTCCTCGCCTTGCATTGCTCTGAGATCAAGACCCAAAAAAATCGCGGGCCGCCGAAGGCGGCCCGGTGAAGTCTTCCTCGCATCACGTTGCTTTAAGACAAAGACCCAAAAAAATCGCGGGCCGCCGAAGGCGGCCCGGCGAAGTCCTCCTCGCCTTGCATTGCTCTGAGATCAAGACCCAAAAAAATCGCGGGCCGCCGAAGGCGGCCCGGTGAAGTCCTCCTCGCCTTGCGTTGCTCTGAGACCAAGACCCAAAAAAATCACTTTTGGCTTCGATGAAATATCGGTGAGCACATTTCTTCAGGTGAGATTTAGGCCCTGTTCAAAACAGTATATTCTTATTAACTCAATTTCGTTGTTTTCAGTTAATGAAAGCCATATTTTCGTACTCTGCATTTCTCTACACAATTTATTCAGACAAAAAAAATAACTATATTTAATTATGAGTAGATATTAAAAATTTCAAATATGTTTTATTTTGTGTGATTAAATGTAAAATAAAGACATACAAAAGCGCAAAATAATAAAAATTTAGCATCTTTTTGATTCTGTTATTGCACACGATTAAAGCATATATGCGATAAAATGCAAAAAGTTCCTTCACTCATTTATCTCATTTAAATAAAGCTCATAATGGTTGAAACATGGTGAGGTCTCAGATTACTCATTAGCGCAAGTCGCAAGATTTTGTTAAGACTTATCGCGAAGGAAGTTATGTCTTCCCATTCATTTAAGAGTATCGTTTCAGCTTCAACTCTGTGACAATCATTATTAATTATTTCCCGTAAGAGGCTAAAAATGTGATTTCGTCATAAATTCGTCCTTATCTGATTGCCCAAGTGTGTGTATAGATATTGTTCAGCATCTCCAGAGGGTTTCTCTTCAACTTACTGTCCCATTCCTCTTCTCGTGTCTGCGTTGAGAAGATATGTAAATACACCTCTGTTAAAATAATATATCGTGAGTCAACACGACCAACAATAATTTCGAGTTGTCCAGAGGCATTGAAGTGCAACCCTCCTGCGGTGCTTCTGAATGTATAATTTTACACAGATTTAATGGATGAATTAACATTGTAAATTTATTGTTATCTGTCCATCATTTGCTGCGTCTCATTATTAATTAGCATCAAAGCTTGCGTTCTCTTCTCGCGGAGCACTGAAAAGTTTTTATTGAATTTCATGGTGGAATATTTGCAAGTTGTGAAAATTACTCAAACTTCTCTCTTTTTCTCTCTCTAGTTAATAATATTGTAAAATTTTAATCATCCAATTCTCATGCATCTTTATGGAATCCAACGAGTTGCTAATTGAACATATTTCAAATAATCAGTGAAAAGATATCGTCTGTCATGGACAATTAAATACTTTTTGACTTTAGGTGGTCGGAAGGTTTTTACATTTTCACTCTTATCGCATAACTAATATTTATGTCCCACTGTGCATGGTGACTTTTTATTGATCTAATAATTTTATTGTCTCTTCGTGGACGCCAATCTGAGGAATATCGAATGGGAATTTATGCTGATGAGACCCCGTTTCTCACTCAGTTCTGCCATCATTTTGTCTATTGGAAATACTCTTCTATTTATAAGATGAGAAGAAAAGAAACTATAGGCAATATTGATGATATTCGCACTCATAAACTTCATTTATATTTGGTATTTTTTAGCACTCTACAAGTAAAACTTACTTTGCGCGCTCTACACTTTCATTCCCCTAAACGAAGTGCCCGAACTTTTCCATCTCTCAACTGTTTGAATTGCCAACAAGACAGAAAAGGGTGGGGAGTGTAAAAACGGAAAATCTAAAGTTTGCTTTTCCAATGAACTCTGCAGGTTGCTCCTGAAAATGCTTTTCCAGTGTAAGGCTATAAAGTTTTTAATTTGGTTATGATGTCTCTGAATTTATAATTCATCTTGCAACTTTTACGCCAAAGCACTTCCTATATACAATGATGAAGTGAGAGCAAAGAGATGGTGAATGCTAAGTTTTTCTCACAATCTGCGATTCACGATGCAGATAAAGTGGAGATTTTCCCGGTGATATGAGAACTAGAGGGTGTGGAGGAGCTTTAATTATTATGTCTTCACCTTTCTCTCTCTCTCTCTCTCTCTCTCTCTCTCTCTCTCTCTAGTCCTTTTTAGTGACAAGGTGCGAAAAATTGAAATTAATCACTGGATGTTGATCGATATTCATTACATGATGTATATGTGTGCTGCTCTTTCATGGATTAATGTATACATTTTCCCTCAACTTCCCCTCGGCGACTTCCACGTCCCGCAGTGAAATTGTACGGAAGTCGCGCATAAATACAAACTTCATTAGCGGGCTAATATGCAATTAATATTAATTATCCAGCGTGTCATATGTAGCTACATTGAATATTGTGAAATATACAAAGCACAATTGAGCAACGTGAATGAATTAAACAATGTGCTGATTTTCGTGGAAAAGCGCTTTCAACGACTTTTCAGTTTCTTTACGGAAATCATGATTTTGTTTATATCATATGAAAGCTTAATTTTCCACTGTCATGATTTTCACCAATAACTATATATGCTACCGTCGTTAATTTTTATTGATTGTATGATTCGATAACTCTTGAAAGCCTTTTATTCAGTGATATGCATATACTCAAAATGATTACAAAGAATGTTGTCACTTTTACATTAAATCCCTGAATGAAAATATCACATTTCACAGTTTCTTCTAATTTTCATGTAACCCGCGTGGTTTCATGACAAATTTGTTATGATTTCACGTCTCATTAGCAGGTGTCCATCTTCCAACGATAAATTGACTATATATAGAATCTTCCAAGACTTGGGCGCATTTCACGGAGTTGGAGAAACACGTGTTTGAGCAGCACGAGAATTAATATTGTCACGACTATCGTCGTAAGTCATTTCGTGTAAATCAAACTTCTTTCCGACATTTCTCGAAATATCAACAAACAGATTGTCTCACGCAGTGTGAATTGAATGGGATGGTAACAAAAGTGGTCAGAGTCAAAACAAGGCTTAAATGCATTTTTCACGGCTGGACATCCGAGCTCTTGAATAACACATAAAGGTACGAATGCTGGGGTCTTTTATTATTTTGTCTTATTCTCTGATACACCATGCTGAACAAAAGGGGGGAAACACAATTTGAATATAGCACCATAACAAACTCCAGTCTGGCTAAGCGATACTCTTTTGATTTATATTGTCATGAAAAGTGCTCTGGCGGAGGAAAAAAAAGGTCTCTGTGTGCTCTGAGGACACTTCAATTTTTCATTTTTAATAGAATCTCAAAAGGTGAAACGCACACAAAGCCCAGTGTTACGGTTTTTGGCCGCCTTAAATGGTGGCAGGTGCGAAAATTCTCAATTTAGACACTGGTGACTTTCATGTCAAAATATTTAGATTGTTCTCGGAGATTAAAAGCGCAACCTCGTGCAAGGTTATTTTCCTGTCTCTCAACCTCTTGCAAGTAATAATCGCATACACACACTCAGAGCGAAAAACTACTGCTGCGTTGACTTTTACAATTTTGTGTAAATTGTATTCCTGATGAATTCTTCATGTTGTACACTAAAAAGAAAAAAAAAAGAAGGAATATTATAAATTTTAACTGTGGCCATATTAAACGTTTGAAAATGATGTGTGTAATTTTTCGGAGTGTAGTCATTGTTATGAGAGACGCATTTTCGAGATTACACTCACGATTCCTTTTGCACTTGAATATTTTTTAACGCCTTTCTCAAGCCGAGAATTGCGCGCCTTTCTTGCAAATTAAAATTCCTTCGCAACGGAAAAAAGGTGAGAGTCATTAAGGAAAGTGACGTCGAGACGACGATAATGGTTCTGGCCGCGCGTGAAAAGCACGCGCCGGAGAAGGTGAAAAAGTGTCTAAGAGGGTTCCGGCCAGGGCGATGAAGAGGCATTTTTATGAGAAAGTTCTGCGCCGAGACGAGAAAGTGTTTGGGAATTTCTGTGACCAAGAAAAAGCGGCTCACGGAATGATGATGAGGAATAATGCAACCCCTGGGCGGCACGTGATTTAATTTCTGAGATGGAGAGCCTCGACAGGACAGTATCAGCGACACACACACACACTCATAGCCCCATGGTATTTTCCACGGGCACTCATGCAGTGTTTGTTTCATTTTAATTTGATTTATGAAAATATTT